CCCCAAGTCTTTCTTGCACTTACACCCTCTGGCACTTGACACAACTTCAGAGTGCAGAAGGCACTCACAAGCACTGGGAACCACTGCTTGTGGCAGGGTTGGACCAAAGGGGATGGTTTATTTCAATTTTTGGAATTCTGATGAAGAGCACATAAAACCAGCAAACTAAGTCCAGTTTTTGTGCCCACTTGATAACATGGGGTTTGCTACACTGTAATAGACTCAAGTAAGGATTTTGCTACATGTGGTGGCCAATAAGACATTGACAAATGCATTTTCATAAGGTTTTTCACCAGAAACTGAAAATAGACTTCTATTTTTTAAAAAAAGCATGCAGTGCTAAGGTTTTCTTTCCATAAAGAACTTCACATGAGGTAACTAAACTCATTATACATATTTTGGCAGAAAATGCTTGGTGGGGTTCTTATTTTTGCTTGTAGTTGTTTAAAAATGGAGCAACAATAGACTGTGCACTGCTGCCTCCAGCATGAGGCACTCTCCCAAAGCCCTTCAGTCAGTGAAGAGTCTAAGCAAGGAGGAAATCATCCTAACTAATGGAAGACTCCCACAAGAAATATAATCCATTACCAAAGTCCACTGTAACCAAGACAGAAGAGCTCCTGGCATGATCCAATTACAGTTATGCAATGGCTCTCAATGATAATGTTTTGAAGTTTAAATTACTACTTTTCAATTTTTAGGTTCAGCAACATCCATGGCAGTTGGATATGTCAAAGTAAACTGGGATCTCTCTGGAGAATTGGCTTTGGGAATTTTCTCTGCACTGGATGCTGGTTCTCTGCTTCTCATGCACTTCACTGACAACATCTGGGCATGTTATGCTGGTTACCTTACATTTAAAGCATGCTATATGCTCCTTATAACAATAGCAACGTAAGTACAACATACAACTGTTCTGACTTGATTTAAATCACTGTCAAATTTTTACATTTATCAAAATTTTACTAGACCTTTCCCTAGATATAAATATAAATAGGTTATGACAGCAGCATATATTGTTTCTAGCCTGTATAAAACAGGATAAAATTATAAGACCTAACCGTTACCATAGTACACTCCAAGTCAGAACAAGGTCGCTTCTGCACTTGGCTGTTCAATGACCAAAGTCTGAGTATTCTCAAAATGATCCAATGAATATACACAGATATTTAGTAAAATTATTCATTCAAGTCAAGGGTAAATAAGATGCACAAAAGCCACAAGGCCAGAAAAAAACAAGAAATTTCTGTCAAAAAGAAGCTGATAAAGCTTAATAGCCAAAGTGGCCTTGCCCTTTGAAGAGTGCTCTGTGCACATTAAACTGTTCCCGTAAGTAAAGTGCATCCACCTGTCTTTGCTCTCTACGGTTTTGTGAACCTGTGCATTCATTGTCAGGTTTCAGATTGCTGTCAACCTCAGCATGGAGCGTTATGCTTTGATGTTTGGCTTCAACAACTTTGTTGCATTGGTGATTCAGACGATATTAACTGTTGTTGTAGTAGATTCAAGAGGTCTGGGACTGGATATCAGCACTCAGGTAAGCTGCTGAGTCCCACTGCTTAGTTCCCCTACTCTCCTCCAAAGCAGGCTCTACTCCAAGATTAGCCTGTGGTAATGTGCAAGCTCAGGACAGTTACTCAACTGGAAAAAGGTTAATTTGAAGTGAACTGGCTTGAACTACTACAACCTGCTTGTCCTCTAGGTCTCCCAATGCTGGGGTGACTCGAAAATATTCTGTGTTCACAGAACAGAGGACAAAGTTTTACCTATTACTCTGGGTATTCTTTAAAATAAAGGATTACTATTCACAAGTTTATAGTCAAAATACCCCAACGAGAAGCAGGAAGCCAGCTGAAAGACAACCTATGGGTCTATTACTAGGGTAATTCCAAGTTACATAGTTCCAGCACACACATTTTAAAAGTTACTGTAATTCTGAAAATTAACTCATTCCAATTCCCCATTAAATTTCTAAAATTAGTTTAAACTTAGACATTAAATGAGTCTAAGTCTCTAGGTTTCATGTTTCCAGAGAAGAGACAAACTGCAGGACAGCTGTCCTCCCTTACTGAGGTGGAGAAGTACATAACAGAACATTCTTTCCCCCTTTTACAACCACAGAACTTCTACAGTGTAAAGTCAAGTAGTCCAGACTTCTTGAATCCGCTCAAGATGGGGTCATTATGGGCACAGGTGACAGGGAAGGGAAGGCAGTAATGAAGGACACCCCTTAGAGTCAAAAACTGTTTTTGCTGTTAGATAACAACTTTTCTCCTTCCCCACCTCCATTTCCCAGTTTCTCATTTATGGCAGCTACTTCATAGTCACAACTGGAATTTTCCTGATCAGAAGCATATACACCATAATTTCCATCAAATGCAGAAATACAAGTGTGGCTGCTGAAAGCACTGCCCTTTAAAAACCGAGACAAAAGCAATCATTACAAGCAACAATGCAGAAGGCTCCATCATCTGGACAACAATCAAGAGAAATATAACGTTCAATCAAGCAAAACTGGTCCAGGTTGAAGCAAGCTGTTTATGACCCTACTGTACAGAGAGCTTTGTCAACAGGATGATGCATTTGGTCCATTTTCTTCACCAGGAGTTTAATACAAACATTCCCCAGTCTTCTAATTCAAGTTTAGTGATCTGACATACAAACTTCTAGTAAGGCTCAGTGAGCACAATGACAAACAAATGCCTCAACCTCACACCAGAGTTGGTGTGAACATCACAGAACAACCTTCTACTGAGTATTTCTATCAAATGCAAAAATTTAAGGCAATTTATTTACTGACAGAAGACCATCAGACATGCCGAGGGAATGTAAAGCAGTTGAACCATACAATGACCTGTCAGAAAATTTGTTGCAGAGGCCTTTGGAAATCTTAAGGCTTTTGCAACTGGACATCGCAACTGCCTTACAGAACTCAGGACTTTCCTGCAAGTGTAGCATCTTCTTACACTTGTAACAGCTGATGTTTAGGACTGAAGTCTGATCTAGGAGGGCTCCATATTAATTTCTGTATAAGGGGCATAAAGTAATCAAGTGAAGTGCTCTGATGCTAAAGCATAAAAATACAGCTTTTAGGCAACTATGCTATTTGCGTGAACAATTGAGGAAAGAACTGCAGAGAACTTCCATGACAAAAACATTTAAAATTCGGGTGAAAAATTAATTTTGTAAATAAAGCTACTTTGAAACCTAATCAATGAAACACCTACGGTGTCAGTTTATGCTCAATATACAGAAGACTCAAAACAATACAAGATCTTCAGCTTATCTGGAATTTGACAAATCTAAAATCTGTGAACACAGACTAAAGAGGTGTGCTTGTGTATAGTTAAAAGTTGCAAACCTTTAATCTGCAGTTAATTCAGTTACGAAAAATAAAGTATTCCACTACTTCTACAGCATATTCCAAACCACATGTCTTGCATACGTCAATCAGTTTCAGAATCTCAGCAGTAATATTTGGATTAGGACAAACTCTATAGATGCTGATCTCATTAGCCCTTGCCCAAAACCTAATTTACACTACTGTAAGTGAAGAAGGCACAGAATTGTTGCTCTTCCATAACTTTTCATCTCATTGACAAGACATCTCTTTGATTTGGTCCAGTTCTCTGGACTAAGCATTTTTAAGTATTCCACAATCCCTGCTGAACCCTTGCAGTTCCCCACTCTCCCCTGCATTTACCTCTTACTATCCGAAACAGTCGAGGCTGGTGAACAGGGAGTTACAACTATTTACGCTGCGCTAAAATACAGTGGTGAGAGTAAGGGTGTTACTAGTACCCTGCAAACCTCCAGTTGCTGGGGATTTGTTCAGTGAATTCCCCAGAGAACATTGGGAACTGAACTGAACACCACACTCACAAGCAGTCTCCATCAGAAACAAAAGAGAGATTTCAAGCCTGTTTTAAATATACCAACAGGACAAAAGCAGACATTTAAGGAAAACTTACAGGCAGCATGTTTTATGAGTTGCCTGTCTCCTGCTTGGTATCTCCAAAGTTTAAAAAACAAAAACAAACAAAAAGTAATTATTACCCCCATAGGCAGGCAACAAAATTAGCATAAATGTTTTTACAAGCATAGGTCTACCTTTCAGATGCCCTAGAAAAACCTGACATTCAGGCAGTCAATTACAAGTGAAATGTCTTGCCTTAAAAGAATTTTCATCTTTATCTCAAATGGACTTGCATGTCCTTTAAAAAAAAAAAAAAAAAAAAATCAATCTCACCTTATTATTCCTGTTTTCCTGAAAGCTGTTAGAATTTTATTCTCCAGCTGGTCAGAAACCTTTAAGCTTTCAGTTTATGTATTCACAAGATACTTACATTATTTGCTTAGTTCCAGTATTACACTTGAATGGTAGCCAAATTATCTCTGTTTAAAACACCAACTACTTTTGATGCAGTTATATTTTTCTCGAACCTTATCACTGTTACAGAGGAAGACAAGCCAGACATTTTTCCCTCTACAAATTTCACTGTAGTTTGGCAGGAGATATTTCTGTAAATTAGAAAAAAAAATTTAATATTCCACAGGAGCGCTTACTGATATGCATCAGTTTTTAATAAAGAGAGGACTATTACATCTGTGGTCCCTTGGCCTGCTGTTATACACTCGGTTCAGACCACAACTAAGGCTTGTTCAGAGCCTGTCAGAAGTTACCCATAATTAGGTGTCTTTTGCTGCAAACCTTCTCTCCAATAACTACCTTTCACAGTGCTTCCAGTGTCCTTCATGACATACTCTATTCAAACAATCCAAACCTCACCTAACACTCTCCTGTGTGACAGGTCACTTCACTTGAGCTAGAACAGTATGCTTCATCACAAGGACAAAGAGAACCACATCCAAGTGAGGCATGTGAAAATGTCAAACTTAACTCACCTATAATACACTGCTTTGGATATTTCATCTGTGTACAAGACACTGTGTACATTTTCATCCAGTAAATGTTACTGCACAGAAATAATGCTACACAGTTCTTTTTTCTAATATTTATTTTTTCACCTGCAAACTGTAGCAAAACATGATCAGCTTTATTATGCAGACAGGTATCCCTCTAACATTAGAGATTTAGGCATGTATAAATAGAAGAGCTCTTAGGAAAGGAAAACATTTTGAGAAATGAACAAACCTTCAATTTAACTTTGTGACTTCCAATATCAATGGTTAAAATGATGCAGCTCATTCATTCCAAGAGATACAACAGCACCTTAAAGTGGCTGATCTATTCCCCAGTAACATTTTTCACATAACAATGTGTTAAAGTTACAAATACTGATATGCACAAATAGCTATTTTCTAAGAAAAATATGTACAGTACTGCAGCATAATGAGTGTGGTATCTGCAATAACTTATTAGCCAATTTTAATACACGTGATACCGCTACTTTTTACCTGCCACCTCACAGGTTCAAGGATGTTACCACAGCCCTCTGTTTTGCACGTTATTACCTGGTGGGGGGTTGGTTTTCTTGTTTTTGTATTGGATGTTTTTTTTTTCTTTTTGAAACTTTTAAAGGTACACAATGCAGGCTTTTATTTTACTTCTTAAAGACTTCTTTTGTGTTTAAAGCTAATATCAGTGAAACAAGACAACAGTGCAAGAGGCGCAGAGATGTTATGTGACCACATAAGAGTTCTTTTGGGTAAAGTGTCTATAAGGCTATAAGAAAGGATTGGTTGATGAGCTTCCTGTTGGAAATTGTCCTGTTGGTGCACCAGCCTGGGGGAAAAGGAACAAAGAAAAATAAGGCAAGTATTTAAATTTTTTTCCCATGCTGTAAATCAAATGCAGAATATGTTAAAATAAGCTGCTGGGGAATACTTCTGTTTTATACTGCAATCTGCTTTTTGCTGCTCCTCTGGAATTACACTACTCTGGGAACATGTATGAAAGTACCTCTGCTTTGATCTGAACATCCTTATAAATGGCATAGTATCCAAACAGTGAGCTGCAGTTAGTAGAGTCAAATGCTGCCTTCCCTTATTAAAAGCAAAAAGAAACCCCTAATCTTTGTGTATGTCTAAGTTAAGTGTTACAGACTATTCTTCTTTGGACATACAAAAGTCATTGACATGCAACAACTCACCATAAAAGGGTTACTAGATACTCCAACAGCTGCAACTTGTCCAAAAGGAGTTACTACAGGCTTTGCTTGCCCAAATGTAGCAAAACCTGCTCCTTGGAAAGAAAAGTAAAAAATGTTAATGCTAGTAAACAATGTTCAAAGAGTTCTTTGCTACAGCTCCCAGACAAAATTAAGGGTAAGTCTGAACCGCAGAATTGGCAGGACTGATTCTACTTAAACATGATCAGAAATGTAAGTGTAAAACACTGTGGCTGAGCTTTTTGTTTTCAACTGTTTGTAACTCATCAATCTCCAATTTCTACATATGCACTTTTTTCACTGTTATATTGTATCAATTCAGGAAGAAAATACTTCCCAATTTTCTCTTGCCTGTGTTCTATGAAGTTAGAGAACGTGTAATAATGTGTTGCAGACATTCCTTAACAGTCCCTCTTGCCTAAAACCCCTTTAAGCCTGGGAATACTTACCATTTTAGTATGAGATTTTGGTAAAATTTCAGTTTGGTAATTATGAAATTGCACATAGCTAAGTCAGAAGGCTCAACTAGAGAGCCAGAATAGTGTGCAAACCTTTCATCAACAATACTATCAAGTTCATGTAGAAATAAATACCCACCCATTATTGCCAACTTATAGATAGACCATTTTCTCCATGTTTCTGATTTAGACAATGTTATCTAAAACATTCAGACCTACCATTTGGCTGTTGAGCAAAAGCAGTCTGTTGAGGGAAAGCTGCCTGGGTTGGGAACGTGGGCTGCTGGAAGTTGCCACTATAACTAGTAGGAAGACTGTAGGAGGCAGGAGTTCCAAATCCTGCCGGCATGCTCATGGATGCAGTACCAAATGTTGCTGCTGGTAGGCAAAAAATAACATGCAATTATTTATAAGAAGTAATTTTTTTCATGAAACAAATTACTATAGGGCCATGTTAAAAGTCTTCTAATGCCCTTTGTGACTGGATGAAAGTTTGGTTCAACTTCTACAGCCACTGAACTGATTTGTTCCCTTCCATCACCACCAACTGGGTGCATAATTTGCATTTACACTTTAAAAGTGACTGGAGTTATTTAAAATTTAGTAGATCCAGTACATTCGGATATACTTTCTGAAGAGGAAATTATTTTTTGTTCTCATATAGTATCATGTGTTATCATACATTTCCCCCAAACTTTTTCTGGTAGAAGTCTGTACACATAAGAAGCAAGCAGGTTCAAGCAGCCTAAGCCCCTCTGTTTTTCACCTTCTGAGAAAAGCATGGAAAGATTCTCCTACTTCAAGCTGCACTACAGAAGGTTATTAAAAAAAACCCAAAAAACAAAAAAAATCAAAGGGATACATGCATCCCCTTTCATCATCCCATCTTTAATGTCTTTAAGGAGATTCGCACCATGCACATTATTTGCACACAAAGTTCTTGTTGCAAACCCTCTTTCTGTTGAGGTAGAACTTAAAACAAAAATAGCCGAAAACTTTTCATCTGATTCTCTGCTGAACATTTCAAGTAAAGAACAGACAGCTCATAAGCATTTCCCCATGCCTTCAGCAAATAAACAGAAGCACATGAGGTGCAAGAGTATAGTAACAAAACCATTATTCAGTCTTTTGGGAGTCATTCTTGCAAAGAGAAATGTATAGAAAGATTTTTAGTACAAATAAAGACACCAGGTATTCTAAGCTAATTAAACAGGACTTCTCTTTTGAAATGTTATAAACGACATTTTATGCAAGGTCAACTGTTTAAAAAAGCTAATAAAATAAATTTAATTAATATAGCTTAATTATCAGTTGAAATATTTACCCCAAAAGTGTTCAAGGGCAAGACATTATACAGACAAACTGTTGACAAGTGCACGCAAAACTAATGTACTAACACTGTTCTCAAGTTACAGTGAGCAGAGCAGCTACTCCACAGCAAACTTGGCTAAAACAGCAAAAAGAAGCACAAAAATATCAGCAGGGGACTTGGGATACTACTGTTGGCAGAAACTTAACAGTCACTTGTTAGCACTATATGGTGACCATGGATGATATCAATAATGGTTTTGTTTTGCTTGCTCGACAGGACGTCTATGTATGCTCTTCTCTCCCTCTGCCCAGTTGCCAAATACCCACACCCACTCAATTTTTAAGAAGTCTTCCACAATTCTTCGTGCAGAGAACCAGATAGCTGTCAATAAGCTTTTACAAGCAAGAACAATTAGCCACAAGAAACTTGATACCAAATGTGGCCACCTACCAAAATGAGCCTGAGGAAATATGTGAGAGTGCATTGCTCCCGAGAGGCCTTATGGAAGCCACAAAGAGACCAGACAATGTCAAATCATTTATACACTCTTCAACAGTCATTTCTTATTTATATATAGGAGAGTAATAGATACACATATATGTACCAAACAGTTCATCAACAACATGACCAGCAATAGATTAGTATTAGAAAACCTTCAGAAATAAGCTCTACAAAACAGATATTCCATGTACTAAATAGCAAAGTTCATGCAGGAAGAACAAGGACATAAAAGGACAAGCCATAAGTTTACACCTTACACTGAAAGGGGCTGAGCATTATCTTTACTTATAGACATTATCTCTGTCACCTAGCGTGGAACATCAGGATGCTGCCAAAGGCTTGGAACCTCAGAGAGCCAGGAACAGCTGTGTAGAAGGTGGAAGGATAGAGGTGCCATATTCAAAGAAATTTATCTAAAGAGGCTACAAACCCCTAACAATGATCCAAAGTAGCTCACTTAGGAATGGAATTAAAATAAAGAAAAAAAAGTACTTTGGGCATTAAATATCGGAACAAATTTAGCTGCGTAATATCTCTAAAGGAGCTGAAAACAAATTAATTTCAGCAGAGGACACAAATTTATCAAATCAATTTTTAATGCAACCTACCTAAATCATTAAGCAAACCACAACTCAAATGTCAAAATGCACACATCAGCAGATTTTAATCTGTTGAAGTCCAGCTAACAGAAAAAAAGTATCAAAATTTAGCAGTTGCTCTGGAGAGGAAAACCAGCGCACCCTAGCAACCATCTAATCCAAGTTCATAGTTTTAAAGAAGAAGTTTGCTTTTTTAGGAAGTGATTAAGTTTTGCTCATGGAATTATGATTTTACAGAATCATCGCACAGAAAATTAATATAAAAAATGAGTGTAAAGATTAAGCATATGCTTTAAAAAAGAGACACTAATGTACTAAATAAGTGGACTGGTGAGGAGCTAGCATCCCATAGCCATGATTCTGGCCCCAGCTCTTTGGTTTTGAGAGCTTTCAACACTTCAAAATAAAGAAAGAAATTAAGAACAGCTTTCAAGATTCCTGATTTCAGGGCTACCTTCTATAAAGCATGTTCTAAAGCCAAGGTTATCATCTTGTAAGGAACCCAGCTGGTGATAGATACACTATAAACAGGTAGAGCTCAAACAGATCATTTCAACATTTTTCATGGCCACTATTTGAAACCCTAGAATTGCACCTCAACACAGAGCAAACACACAACATGTCAAATAGACTAGAGACAGATATTACAGAAAATCTTTAAGAAACATATTACACAGATACATGAAAAAATAATCAATGCAATTCTTTAAAGAAAGTTTCTCAAACACTCAATGTATTTTTTCCTAACCTGTTGCTCCTCGGCTATTGGTCTGGAATGGATTTGTTGAAGGTGCCACTGGGGCAACAGGGGCAGCTACAAATGGATTTGTGGAAGGTGTTGCTGAAAGATTAAAGACATTTGATTAAGCAGCAAATCTGACTCACATGAAGTCTATACAGCCTTTATACAAAGACACACAAATACCTAAAATTAGGCCAAAACCAGGAATGCATAAGATACATTAAAAATATAGTTATTTTGACAGAAGTACTTTTTTGTTAATAGCACCTTTATTAGCTTCAGTAGTAGTGGTCTCAAAGCGGAGCATTATCAAGTAAAAATTAGTAGATTGCTTGCTTACAGTCCCCAAAGGCTGTTAGTAACACTTCCATACCTCCAAATGGAGCAGGCACACTTGAAGATGTAGGCTGTGTCTGTGCAGTAGCAGCTACAGGTACTGTTCCAAAAGCATTGCTGGAAATGATTTATACAATTCATTCAGTGAAGTCAGAATTGCTTGTTTAATAATCAAATACAATTTACAGTTACTGCTGCCATGTAAAAGAAAGGGGACGAACACACAATATGCAGTTTGCAGACTGCAATGTACCTCCCTGATTCCAGGGTCAGACACTCTCACTAGTGCTGAGCAATGGCAAGTCATCTTCACCAACAGCAGGAGAAGGAATATAGAGCTAAGGCCAACAGCATAAAGGTTGCAAAGCAGAAGCCTTAGGGGCACTCGCAATGCCAAGCCCCAAACAGGCATTTGGTATTTATTACTTCAGTGATCCAGAAAAGAAATGGGTAGCACCATTTACATTAAAAATATCTGAATTTTCTTTTCAGGGATGATCCTATGATTTTGAGTATGCATGCAAGTACTCTGCAGAGCAAAGTGCTACCATCTAACAGGTTTAGCAAGTCATGACTAGAAAGGTGCAGAGAACATTCCACTGACAGTGTTCTTAGAGTAGGAACACTGAGTTCCCTCAGTTCTGCCATTATTGAAAACAAGAGATGCAGTTTCAGCAGTACCTCTAAACTCATTCAATGCTTCCCCATTTAGATAAGAACAAGCAGATTGGAGAAACGATTCAAGCTGCCCTGTGCTGCTGCAGGCAGCAGGCAGCCCTGGCAGCGTACCTGCTGGCGTTACTGGTGGCAGTGTACGCGTTGCTGGAGGTGGCCGTGGAGCTGAACACACTGTCCAGCTCCGCCAGCGCCGCGTACTTGTCTGAAGATGCACTTGACTGGTTGGGGGCTGACAAGGCAGGGCCTGCTGAGGACACTGCTGTGCTGAAGCCACTTCCCTGCTCACTCCCACCTAGAAAGAAAGCAGATTAAGCATACTGGAGATGGTTTCACTTTCTGTCCTGCTGATATTGAGAACTAAATGAAAGTTCACAGATGGTTGCAGACTCAAAAATGAAATATGCACAAGGGCATAGAGGAAAAAGTATTTAACAAGCCATTAGCTGTTAGCAAAGTGTCCTGCCTCTATAGGTACTCTGCAGCCCCAAAGAGCTTTTGTTTTCCTAGAAAAATAATCCATTCATCTTCAACTAGAAAATGAACAGAACACGTAACTTCAAATAATCCATTTCAGAACAAACTCTGGAGTACAAATGAAACTAAGTTTTAACACACCATTCGAGGAGAACTACATTTGAGTAACAGAATAACTAGCTTTTTCTCCTCAATTTACTATCAACTAAATCCAAATATCACTGTTACTATTCTATGAAAAACTAAAGCCAACTGGTTTTGCAGCAGAGAGGTAGGAAAGCTGCTCTGGTAGCTCTTTGTAAAACTGCAGCTCTCCATTCCAGAGCACCCACTACAAGTTTTAGTACAAATATAAAATATGTATTTGTATTTTTGTATGTTTTCATTACTGAAGTAATGATTATTTAGATATTTTAATGTTGAATTATTCATCTCGATAGGGAATAGGTTCCCAAAAAGTAGTCTTCTAATGACATTCTTTTGGAATGATGTCTTAACTCATATCTTGTACATTTAAGGTAAGGGTACATTGACACAAAATTCTGCTGACCACTTAGAGAAGGGAAATTTTGATATACCATTATAGTATTTTGACAAGCACAGCCATCCTTGTGGTAGCTATACACATACAGAATAACCATGGCAAACAATAAAGTTTAATACCTTGCCCTGCACTGAAGATATTATCTAAATTAGCAAGAGCTGCATATTTGTCAGCTGACTGAAGATTCAGTTTATTCACTGCAGCTTTACTGGCTGCAGTTGCTGTGGCGTTGCTCTGAGAAGCATTGAAGGATCCAAAATCAGCACTGGAGGATTTGGGGAAGTTATCAAAGTGAGCAAAATTAGCATTCACTGATCCAGCACTTCCACCTGTAACAAATTAAGTTAAACATGATCAATGCTCCAAAGTTAGAAAGTCTCTCCAACTGCAACTGATGGCACAATAACCCTCCCTTTGTGGTTATGTGAGGCAATGTGTTTGCCTGCCCCATCCTACCCATTTAAGGCTCTTTCCCATTTCCTTCAAAGTTCAGTGGGCTGTCAGAAAAAAATTATAATAAAGTGTTTTGACTGCATATAAGGGATAAACACCCCAAACTTCAACACTACAAATCACAGTCATAACTTGATTCTGAAAACTATATGCTATTTTTAGCTGTTTAAAGTAATTTCAATAATAAAAGCTTCCTAGAAAAAGATGTATTTGTATTGATCTTTGACATTCAAAATACAGAAGCTTCATTTCCCTACCATATGTGGCTAACGAATATCTACTATTTACATTTACTTAGTGGTTCAGTGTTTAGTCATTGCAGATGTCAGTCATCATCCTAGCAAAAAAAAAAAAAAAAAAAAAAAAAAAAAATGCCTGGAAGTCCACAAGTTGTATGATTTCATGTCCAGATTTAGAGTTTAGTTCTCTGGTCTCAATAGCTTTAGACTGCATCCAATCAGGAAACAGGTTGGGGGAAGACACAACACAGCTCTTTCATAACAAATCTCCACTGAAGTCAGAGATACATAAATCAATTTTAGAAATTTGATATGAGTCCACACAACTGAACTTCGGATCAAGTATGACACCATGAGCTTCCATCTCTTCATTGTCCAGACAATTTAATCTAGGCAGGTCGCATACTTAAATTTAAATAAGTTGTTCTATTAAGTGTATCACATTTTGTAACAGTTGGCTGATGAGTCCACTCATACTACAGAACTTTCTAAAACAGAAAACACAACTTTCTAAAAGCATAAGCAACAAGTTGAAACATATGCAACAGCAGGAATGGAAGTGCTATACTACAATGGCATAAAATGAAGCAAGCCGAGTTTTCCACTGCGTGGAACTTACTGTGTACAGCCTGGAGAGGAAAAGCTGAAGTAAATTCACCAAAACTGCAGCTAGATGAAAGCGTTCTGAACGCTGGACAGCCAGAAATTGTGTGTGGGTTAAAGTTAACATAAGAAGGGAGAAAGAAAATTTGAAAAAAAAGTTTAAAACAACACCACACTCAAAAAAAAAAAAAAAAAAAAAAAAAAAAAAAAAAAAAAAAAAAAAAAAAAAAAAAAAAAAAAAAAAAAAAAAAAAAAAAAAGGAAAAGAAAGTCAGTCAGCCAAAGATCTAGACAAACAGCAAGTGTAAACTCAAGCAGAACTTCTAAAGCATGATCAAATTAAAGGAAAGCAAAATAAATTTTAGCAATAGGCTCTACACATGAAGTCAAGCATACTGAAGTGTGCGCATATGCTATACATAGACACACACTTGTTTGGTCCTGTGACATCCTTTTGGACCTACTGAAGTGCTTCTCTCAGAAGACAGAGTCAATTCAATACTTATTAAAAGCAGTAGAGTTTGTTTATTCTTTTCATAGTTATTTCAGGTGTAGAGCTAACAAACACAGTGCCATAAATCAGACTTCTGAGTAGCATTAGGGGAAAAAAAATCAACACCAAACACAAGGAATTAATTTTGAGTTTCCCCAGAGCTTCAGACAGCTTGATCACATTAAAGCAGGCAGATGCAAGAAAAACTCAACTTCAGTACCTTCCGACATAAAGGTAAGGATTATTTCAATTAAGTATTAATCAAAAGTGCTAGGACTTCTACCTGTATTTTGGGGCTGAAAAGGAGACTGACTTGCTGTGGGGAAACCTCCAAAATTACTCGAGCCACTAGACTGTCCAAATGCATCAAAGTTTGCAAAACCTGCATTGGCAGAGTTCTGCGCTGTAAATCGCAAAGGAACAAAACATGTTAATGGATATGGGAAATAAACACAAAAACAGATGTATTAACTGAATTCATGGTCATGACAGCCTTCAAGGATTATGTCCTACCATGTGCTACTTTTGACATGAAGAAAATTACACATTATTCTACAATTGAAAGTTGTCTTTGAACAAGCTCTCACACATCACATTCACAGAGCTGTATCAATTAATGCTACTTCTGTCCTTCTCACACAAGCTGATACTCACAACTGCATGACCCAATGGAATCCACTCCAGCTTAACCCTCAGTGTTTGTAGTGCTGGCTGCTCAGGAACAAGCAGCCATAAAGTACAGAATACCTAGTTTCCAAAACTAGAACTTGTGGGCTAACTGAACATTTCTTTGTGCATAAAAATTAGAAGGCATTCCTGTAACATATTGGCAATTCAAATTCCTCATACACCAAGTGCTTCCTCCTCAGGTGAATTTTGGTTGGCACAGCTTGAATACTTTTGGCTAAGTTTATAAACTCATTTAACTTGAAAATTCACAGTCTTTAAAAAAAACTAAATCAGAGTACAGAAATATGGAAACTCAATGCCAGTGGAAAGAAGATAGCATTCAGAGTGTATCCACAGAATAATATGCAAGAAATTTTAAACAGAATTTCAGTTTTCACCTTCCTTTTGTGTCATGCTATAGGAGAAAAGAGAAGTTAACACTAATCTAATTTTGACCAGCTGGACATTCAAGTGTCTATAGACTCAACAGGAATTGCATGCCTAACTGGTAAGCTCCACAGAAGCCCTTAAACTCTATTACAAGCTACAAGGGAAAAAATGTTTTTAATCACATGCAAACCATACCTTTTTATAAAGGCAACTTGCGTTACTATCTAAAGAAAGCTCACAAAACAACTTCTAGAATAACAGATGGCAATGCATTATATTTTTAGGTTAGAATTTGTTTATTCTGAAGAGGTTTTGCAGATTAAGTATATACAAAGAGAATAAATTATGCCGATTGCTAAAGTACTGTAGCTTAATAATCTGATAGTGCTAATTAAAAGTTGTGTTATTTCAATTAATTTTTATTCAAAAGCATCTCTACTACAGATTTATAAACTGAAAGAACATTTTGATACACACTACTGTACTCCACAATGCTGCTAATAAAGATTAGCAGCAAAGTGCCTGCATTTTCCTTCCCCGAGTACCCTGGGAGAGAGGATGAGGTTTGGCTGGACTCAATACCACATTTAGTAAACCATGTGCATAAGCATTAGGTTACAGAGCATGGTTTTGGCAGCAGGGAGCAGCCAAGGTGGTCCCTGTGAGGACAGAACAGAAGCTGCCCCCATTGCTGCACAGCTGCTGCAGCTCCAAGACTGCCCCACTACTGTCCAACAGCAGTGATAGCTGGGGCATTGTGTTTATAAAAGGTTAAAAACCAGTGTGCAGAAGCTGTTGCACAGAGGATTGAGGAAAATGCAAGAGAAAACACTGCAGATACCAAGGTCAGCTAAGAGGGAGGGAAGGCCCATGGAGAAGACCATGGTAAGGAAAGCTGTCCCACTGCAGCCCATGATGGACCATTGTGCAACAAATGCTGCACACTGCAGCCTGTGGAGGAGCCATGCCAGAGCAGGTAGGGCAGACATGAGGAGGCTGGAGCTCATGGAAAGCTGCTGCTGGAGCAGGTTTTCTGGCAGGAGCTGTGACCTGCCTGAAGGACAGCACCTCTTGGAAAGGACCCATGCTGGAGCAGTTCTAGAACTGACACCCACGGCAAGGGTTCACATTCCAAGAAGTTTGAGAAGGACCATATCCCACTAAAAGGGAGGGACCCCACACTGGAGCAGGAGAACAGCATGAGGAAGAAGTAGCAAGAAAGATGAAATCTTACAACTGCACCCATTCCCCAGCCCCCTCATGAGGAGGGGCTAAAATGGTCAGGAGTGAATTACACCTCACAAGAAGGGATAAAGGTAGGTTTGGTTTTATTTTTTTACTATCCTACTCTATTACTGTCAACAAATTAAGTCAAGTCTGGTTTGCCCAGTTACTTTCTCTTGACTCATCAGTTTTCTTGTGGCTTCCCCAACTCTGCTAATGGGAGAGTGAACACACAGCCCCGTGAGCACCTGGAACCCACCACAGCATGAGAGTCAGCAAGTGAGAGTGAAAGCAAGATCTTGGGAAAGTTATTTTCACCCTTGAAGTGTGCAATAAGTTGGCAAAAACAGACAAAAAATTACTTCTATTATATTCTCTGTGGTGGTTCAAATAGCATTTTACAGACTCCAAATCCCAAAATTTGAGTTGTTTTGGTTTTTAGACCAGTAGCTTTTTAATAGGAATAGATTAAGAATTTACTTTAAATATGAAAGTGATACTTTCATCCTAATGCATCAGTTGGACAGGTAAGAGACTAATTTTTAGTTGACCAAAGAGGATTAAATATGTAAATGACACTTCTAGAATAAGAGCAAGACTATTCATTTTAACCACTCACACAAGCAGAAAACTGTGTCAAGAATCTTAAATGAAATATCTTTTGGGTCCAAATTAAAAACTGGAGTGTATTACATTACAAAACACTTCATTTTACTGCATCAGCTGACACAGAAAGGGTGTCCTTCAAGTGAGCCCATGTTAAAACAGTACTGCTGTAAAGCCTCTTCAGCACAGCATTCTGATATTAATCTTGTTTTATTTTATGCAGCAAAATTTCAATCTTAATAAATGTGACACAAAAGTAAAGACCAGGTAAGACTTGTACTCTTCTGCACGTGGACAATATGCAGATTACCAATTCCAAAATTCAGTTCTTCACACAAAAACCCAAAAACAATCCTAAGTAAGTTCAGGAACTTCAGGGGGTTGCAAATTGCTATGGATTTACAGCTGCTCTTGACACTGCAGACCAACAAGGCAGTACAAAAACCAGCTGGCTACAGCCAGGGATGACAACACCAGTCATGGCAATGTCAGCTGCACCTATAATCTCTGCAGCTTCTTCTGTGAGGTTTGTACTACCTGGTATGCAATAAAGGCATGAAACACTGCAAAACAGGAAAAGAACTAAAATAAAATCTCTACAAAAAAAAATCTCTACAAAATAACTCTTATACTATTTTGCTTTTTCTAGATAAAAGTCTCTTCTCCAATGTTATTTGTAATAGGGTTGTGCTGTGTCACTACACCTTTGCAAAATCTTTTGTGCAGGTCATCTATTCCACTAGTTTTTAATATATCTACATGCCAAAAATTTTGATCCTTATTGCGATTACCAGTCTATAAACTACAGACAAATCAGTCATGTACCATCTTCAAAATCTTGATTTTGCAGACATTACAGAACTTTGTAAATTAAATACCAACAGCAAACATAAGGTCAGTACGTTTCCCCTTCAATAAGCAACAATATCCTGAACCAGCTTAATACATAAAAGAATTTGGAAAGCAGAAAATCATAAAGTGCAGTTCCTGCATAATTTTCAAGATTTACATCTACACTTCACAGATTATGGCACAAGTTTGCTAATATTTTCCTATCAGCTGCTGCACTCAGTAATTTATACTGAAGGATCTTAAGTTTGCTGGTCTCTTCAGTGATTTAGTTAGCATTGTGTACAGGAAGGGAAAAAACTTCACCTCTTACACACATAGCTAAAACCAAGCCTTAAAACAAGAAGACCAGACTATAAACTTTGAGAAAGTAGTGCTGGACTAAGTGCAAATTCTCCCATCCTCCTTAGCAGTGTGTAATTGCTAACAAAAATTACATGTTTATACAGCTCCTTAATGAGCATTTCAAACTCATCTTTGCCAAAGCTGGCAGACTGATCAACCCTCCTTGTGTTCCAAAGGAAAAGTCTGTAACATTTTGTTATTCATTTCACTAACACTACCCTGTACTTACTGCACACAAGACAAGCCTCAGGTAACAAGTCAGGAATACATGTTCAGCTATCACACACTGAAAATCAGGTTTCTTTCTTTTAGAAACTGAATTACTAGCCCTGATACTGCTTTGGGCTCTAAAACTTATGGTAAGACATCATAAGAATGACCACAATGGTTAGTTTGTGACCAGAAATTAACAGACTCTCTCCTCAGATTATATTTATTCTGGAGTGATCCTATAGCTTTTTACCCTTTTAAAAATTACCCATCAAAAATGCAATGGAATTTTACTTAGATTTGGAACACACTATTAAAATACTGCTTTAATGGAATTTTCAACTCCTAAAAAGCACTAAGAATAATTAAGGGTATATACATAAAGAATCATTCAGAATCAAGTTTGGAAAGAACTTATTAGAAAAAAATTAACCATCTGCAGTCTTTTCAATAACATTATACAGCATTAGCCAGTCAGCACCAGTTCTCCCAGTTAAACACACGTCCTAAATCCTGATTAACATGAAATCTAATTTTAAGGATTTTACAGAACACACAGAACAATAATTGCTGTTGCATTGTTACTGAATTCAGCCATTTATTTCACAACATTAATTTGGATAAATCCTTGGTATTTTGCTATGACACTATCTTGGCTGTTAACAATTTCAGGACTGATTTGCAAGAAATGTCTCTTATTCTGGGTGGCCTAGCAGCATCACAATTTCTCTCAGAACTAGATGAAAAGTCCATTCGGACCAGGCAGGCAAAGGTTCTTTCCCACAGCCACAACGTAAGCTAGCAACAACAAACTTCAGTGACCACAGAATTGACTTTGTCTTTAGGATACACTTCTATGGCTCTTGGTCTTTGGCTGGAAAAAAAAAACCCTGAGGGTTCAATATATTTTACTGAAGTCATCCTCTAAGAATTCAAGGCCTATCCCCTTTCCTCAGTCAATACATATGCTGAAGGCTTATTCAGCCTTCCTGAAACTACAGAATACTGCTCACATGAGCAGTACTCAGCTTTCAAACAGACACACACACAAAAGATGAGATCACTCTTAAACTGGGCAAGCCTTGGTTTTTCCTTTGACAAACTGGCAGTTATTATCAATGCATTTGAAAGTCTGTATCTGCTTGCTTTTCATGAATGCTCTTCCTAATAACTTGCAGAAAGAAAATTGAAGGTCTAGTATCAGCTTCTCCCAACATTTTGTTACTCATCCTCTCTCTCCCCCAAAGAACCTAAAGTTTAGTAGTAGGCAGAAACAGTGTAATCATACATCCTAGTGAATATCTATAGCAACACCCACTTGCAGAAGCAGAATTGTCAGTCTTTATGTTTTCAACATTTCTTTATAAAGACCTGAAAGAAACCTTGAGCAATACAACATTCCTAAAGCACAGAGATTACATACACCTCATGAAGTTTAATCAAAAGCCATCAAAATTAAAAGTACATTTTATACAATTAAAAGGGATACAGTGGTCCAAATACCTACCTGTATGACTGTTGAAGTGTGCAAAATTAGCAAAATTAGCTGTAGCAGTTGACTGAGGAGGAGCAGCAGCAAAGATATCTGAGCCAAGGTCACTGAGGAGGTCAAATTGTTTCTTTTCTTGTTGCTGCTGTCCTTGAGATCGAACTACAACAGGAGACTACAAACACGATTTCTATTAGCTAGTACGAAAAGATGATATTTTACCAAACTGACATTTACAAAATATTAGCAGGCTAGACTAAGCTTATTTCCTTAACAAGACATTTATTCCTCAAGTTTAAGATGCTGTATGTAGGACACACCCTCCTCCTATAGTATGAGGAAGACAATTTATACTATTTCTCTGGCTTTTAAAGGAACTCTGTTGCAGATTTACGTAGTTTAATAGGACCCAGAAGAGTAAAGTAACAATATAATATCAGCAACTTCAGATTTCATATTTGAAACTGTAAATATTGTACAAATACAAGAATAAAACTTAATTTTATAGGATGGAAAATAGTTATTCACTACATTCTGAAAAAATCTTTAGAATTCAGTATAAGGAGAGAAAATAGCAAGAGAATTTAATAGCAAGGCTTGAAGTTGCAATTGTCTACTGTCTGAGTTAAAAGAGGTTCATTCAAGAGTTGCCTGTATCCTGATGGCAGTTTCCAAACAGTCCTCCCTCCAAAAATCTAAGTACACAGTGTTGTTTGACTTTACAACATGCAGACATCTCCTGAAAGCCACTTAAGACAGTTTCAGAATGCACAGGAAGCCATAATAAACATGACATGCTTTCATCCACATATTCACTACTAATCTCACAGTTAACAACATCAGTCATTTTCTTATTTTCAAAGAGAAAATGCACAGATGGAAATATAACACATCAGGTCCAAACTTTACAGGTATTTATGCAAAAGACAATCTTATCACACTGGAAAACTCTGCTTACTGAAAATAATAAAAGTCAATTTGGTCAATAGAAACAAACTTAATTTAGTACCTGATCTGCAAACATGTATATACTTCAGTAAAATATACAACATACAGAGATCATATTAGCTGCTACAGATCATAGCAGCTGCTATTGCAAGGGCCACTGAAAGGGTAACAAGAACTGCAGAACAGTTCTGTGCTCAGCAGTCATTACTCACCTGGCTAGGTGTGCCCTTGTTTAAGTGCAGTGCGGGTGCAGCTTCTCCCAAGAGAGATTTGAGTGGCTTCACCTCAGGTGTGCTGCTTGTACTACTGGCAGAAGACCCCGATATGGATGCATGGACTGATGCCACCACCTTTGCTTGCTCTGGAGGAACATACCTACATGCAAGAAGAGCAATGGTTTTTACAGTTTCACGTGAGAAGTTCTTAACTGTGAAGCTGAGAACTGGCAGATCTCAGCTTTGCTACTGAAACTCCAATCCTGCAATAGACTCTCCCAGTAGTTTGCAAAGAACCTCTTCTTTAAATATGCCACAGATTTTTTCTTTAAATGGACTAGAATTTAAAGTCATCAATATTTCTAGCATTTATTCAATACAAAACGTGTCTTTCCCATACTAATAAATTGGATGGGAAATAATAGTCTGCAAAAATTTTACTTTATGCTGTTGTTGACATCCTCTTAAGCCATTTCTGTTCCATCAATATGAACATTGAGAAACTTGTTTGTCTTCTCTGCTTCCTATAGGAGCTCTAAAGTTCAGAAACCATTTCACTTTACAGAGCCATGTAATCTAGTTTGAAAAGCGCACTCAAAGAAGGAAAGGACACTCAAAATGATAGCAAACAGTCCATCTTCACTTCTCATCATAGGGGCAATCTTTATAATAGTAAAGATATCTTACCATCTTTTCTTTTCATATTTTTCTTGTAGAAATTCCTTTACTTTCTGTGGATCCCTGAAGTCTGGAATTGCTGATGATCTATCATCAAACAGGCCTAACCAAATCTGTTTGCACACCTTAACAAAAAAAAACCACAACAAATCAGATTAATCTGAGAAAATACCTTAATTCAAAGCCCATTTAAATTTACTGTTGTTAACACATCAAACCATTAAAGTGTGGGGCTGCATAATTTATATTCCAGACTGAGCTGCTGTAACAACTGACTGGTGCACCACGTACCAGTCTAAATACCTAAAGTTGCCTGTCACAGAAGGGCAAGCAGATCCCAGCATCCAATTTCAACATCCAACACTCCATTTACAAAATATTTGTAGAATGTGCTCATGAAATGCAAAGCACCTGATTTCTACTTGCAATCTTTAAGATTCTTCTTCACTTAATTCTACACATTCCCTCACTGTACTTCAGGGCCTAAACTGTTTCAACAGATTCCATATGCCCCAAACCCCAAATGGTAGATTTTAAAGAATCCAAGGTTCAGTATTTATACTTTTAATTGCTATTTGAGTACAAGAACTGTTTTTCCAACAGCCTTTGTTACCATGATGCAGTTTCTACAATACTATATACATTTGAGTGATGGTATGAGATAAGGGGTAAAAATACTCCTGCTCCAATTTAATTTTCTAATTGCAGTTGTGAATGAGCAAAAGTTGAACCACATGCAAAATTCTCAGTATGTTCAAGCTTCAATTCCTGAGCAAAACAAGAGGAAAGGTGTTCTCAAAATGAAACAAGATGTAGGAGTTCTAACTTGAAATGGTTTAAGCCCTTCAGACAATTCTGCAAGTAACCTGAATATCCACCCAAACAGTAACACCAAACATTAGCTGCCCTCAAAAATGCAGTGCCCTTTTAGAACAGGTTTCTTCCAGAGAAGGAGAGTCAAAAAAGCTTTGTTTTTATATTGCATATCTTTCTTCCCACACCCTTTCTGAAATAGCCCTGACCATCTCTCCTACCTGCCTACTACAAACATGCCCTCTATCCCTGCAAGTGTCAGGTTTTCAACATCGTCCCCAGTGATCTTCAGGCTCTAACAACCAAGAGCTGCAAAACTGATTGCTCTACCTTGATCTGACAACTTTCAGAAGCTGTGATACTCCCACTTCAGTAACTTCCCCAAACTGCTTGGCAAACATGATAAATCTTATAGATAATTTCAAAGATTGCTCAGCATTAGAGAGATCACACACACATCCTAACTATATATTTCATATTTGATGTTTCAGTTCTAAATAGCCCAATTGCATATGCAACACCTAACAGTCCTTAATTACCAAAATTATCATCATCTACTGGACAGAGACAAACAACAACAGGAAACAGATCTAATGATCAAAAGATTTCTAAATGAGTATTTATATAGCTAATTTAGAGCTAAGATCAGTAGCTCCTACCACAAATAAACTCAGCAATTTTGCATTCCTTCTGCAATTCTACTCCATGATGGGTCAAGTTCAACACACTCAAAATTAAACAGTCATTCTTACAGTACAGTAATAAATAAAATGAAACTTAATATATTTGGTTAATATTTCTTCATACAAACTTAGAAAACAAACCTAGTCAAAAAAAGTCACAAGTCTGTTTTAAAGTAAAAGCTAATATCAAGAACCACTGTTTTAACAGCACCAATCTTTCACTGCTTTTTGGTAACAAAACATACAAAGTCAAAATATTTATGTGTGTAGCTTTAAACTTGCAGTGAATAGCCTGAAGTGAGCCAGCAGTAGTATTTCCATACTTAGATTTGTGAGTATAACTATACAAGCAGCAGTCATATGATTGCTTAGAGGAAGAGAAGTCCTGCTTGTGGCTATTTACAGAATCTCTAGCAGCAGGAGTTGGTGGTGTTTAAATCTACACAGTCCCTTCCCAACCCCAACTTAAATACTGGAAAGAACATCAGGAAACACTGAAGAAAAGAAAATTTGTGCTTAAATTTCAGACAAGCAGAAAGACAAATGTTACAACAGCCCTACTTCATTCTGCACCCAGCACTCTAACACTTGGGGCTCTACCATGATAATCAATTTGCATCCAACCTGAGATGTGCTGGCAAATGACAGAGGAGGGCTCCTTCCCCACCCATACCACCCCATCCAATTACTTCTCCTTCTCCTGCCACCCAAAACAAGTCAGATCAAAGAAACTAATCACAGTTACCATGTCACTGCTACAATTGAAACCTGAAGATCATCAACTCACAGCAACAAACCACAACCCAGTTTTTCATGTTTCTCCCTCCCAGTTCTCTGCTTCATCTTCCCCTTGAAGTACCTAAGCATTTGGAGTGAGAGGGGAAGAAAATAAAACAAAAGACCTTCAAAACAAACAAATGAAAACGCCCAACAACAAACAATGCAAACCAAACAACCACCACAGCTCCAGGTCAATATCTCAGGCCATTGTGACCACTACAGATAATCTCTGTGAGGACTCAGGAAACAAGGTGCTGTGTGACTTCAGATCATTACCAGCTACAGAGCTATAGTAGATACAATTATATGAATATGCAAACAGGAACGGAGGAGGACTGTGCTTAACAAACACCTGTTCGTTTAAAATGATGCAAGCTTCTTAAAGGCATCAGCTCTTGCCATTGCATTGCAATTTTTGCAAACCTTCAGAAAACAGGTTTCCAAAAGTGTTTCCTGGAGCAACTAATTCCTTCTAAATACCTAACCACAAAAGGAAGTAACAAGTGAAATATGCCTTAAGTCACTTCTGTAATTAATTTAAACAAACTGCCAGGCACTCCATGTTCTTCTGTTGCTGGCAGCACAGAGAACAGTTTTACTAAATGGGCAACCAATTTTACTACCAGTTTTACTGATGGACAACCACTAAGCCAAAGAACCTACTTAGTCATACACACTTCAGCAAGACATTCTCATTGTACTAGAGAATGGGGGACCTGTACAAACAGCGTAAAACATTTACCACACCAAATGCAAATTACATTTCATCTAAGTTTCTTTACCTAAAGAGTTATCAAAGGAAGTATAATTTCTTAAAAGTTCTTAAAATGGACAAGTCTTAAGCCAAAACCAGACACCCACAATATATAAGAGTAGTTTGGATTTGGATAGTGGGACTGATGGGAATGAACCATAAGACTAAGTGGGTGACATGACTGGAATTTGTAGGGTAAATCACATCCTCATAGAGGCATTTCAGACCATGCTTGTACCAAAAACAGCTTGTTTTGTCTTCCTACTACAGTTGGGCTTGATGATCTTAAAGATTTTTTCCAACCTACACAATTCTGACTTAAGTCCTTTAGAAAAGCATATTTTATGAGGCTTTAGAAGCACACCAGAAACCATGGAAAGGCACATATTTCTGTCTGAAGTAGCACACAGTGCTTTGAACATCAGCAGTCATTCCAAGCAGGCATTCAGAGCCCAATAAAAGGCCCGTTGTCTTCCCTTGTTTGCTGGTGACCTGTGTACTCTGTCTAGCTGTACTTCTACTACCATCATCTGACTTGACAGGGATCCACAACACTGCATTGATTATGCTTCAAGTGAATCACAAAACAATTTTCAGCCATCTAAAAAAACACAAATGGCAGAGAGCTGTGCAATACCACAGGATGAAATCAAAATTGAAAAATAAAATTAAAAAAATACTGTTGTCAGAGACAGAACTCACATCATGCAATTGTGTTTCCTTGAAGTAGTTATCTGCCCATAGTCATTTTAAAGTAAGTCACCAACAATCCTGAATCTTGTGTAAAGAAAGAAGTTTGCTATGAGAAATTGTTATTTTTGCTTTATTGATCAAGCCATCATATATTTTGTTTCAAAGCTATGCAAAAGTTACTCTTGTGATAAATATCAGGGAAACTTATGCCATACAACTTGCTGTTTATGGTGGGGGAAGATGACTCAGCATTTATAACTTTGGTACCCTGATTACTCCCCACTAATTCACTATCTGAACTGGACAGCTAACCAAAAGATTCATTACAACAACAAAATAGCACAAGTATAGAAAGTTGGCAACTTTAGTTGCCAACACTTCATCATAAGCTTCAGTGCTATGTTCTGTCTGGCCCAACAACTGCCCAGGCAGGACACCTGAACTGCATAGGTACTCCCACAGTTATTCAGCACAGTTATCCACAGCATGTGCTGACTCTTGCAGGGCATTTCTTGTATGACATGGAAGCAGGGAGGAACTGTAAAAAGGCTTTAAAGGAAATGTAAACCTGCACAAACCCAAGCCGTAAGCAAGCAGTTGCTCTACTAAACAGGGTTTTCTTATTTAATACAACTTTACTATCCGGAAAAAAATTTAAGAAAGTAATTGTTCTCAATTTTTGATTATTTTGAAAACATGTTTTTAAAAATTTGAATTTGATATCCCAAGGAGCATGTATTTCAAACCACCCCTCTAACAGCTGCATATATAAATCACACTTGCAGAGCTCATTCAGAAAATGCTACTGTTCAAAATGTATGACACATCTTCAGCCCCATTTTAACAGAATTACTCATTCCTTTGCTTTTACATACAACATATGAAGCATCATCCCAACTTACGACACAATTACACAACACTGCTATTAAGGTATTGGGGTTAAAAATTCTATGGCTTTCTGAAATCCTTCTATATTGCACCATCTCCTTGGGAATACTCTGGTTCAGCCATTTAATATTAACATTGTTCTTTCTGCAACAGCAGCACCAATAAGCCTGTGCCTGAAAGCTCCGTTTATTTGCTGAAAGCTTTGCTATACTCCTAATTTTGATAACCACAGCTCTATCAAACAAAATGCTCTGCTTAGAGAAGAGCCTGACTAGCTGGAGCCAAGAGTAAACATTCAAGTTATGTGGAAGCCCCTAGAAACAGTCGAACATATCCAACAATCCATAATCATTGTCCACTGTCCCTGAAAAGTATAATTAGTCCATGTCCCACTGGCTCACCAACGGAGCAGGGAAAAAACAGGAGAGCATTGAAGTCAGAATGACTAAGCGTATGCAGCATTTGAAAGTCTACTTTTGTTGAAGGCTTGACAGAAGCAAAGCTTTGAAGTTTT